GGCGCGGGCGGCCGCGGCTCGGAGCGCCCGGGAGGACGCGGGGACGCTGGCGAGGCGCGGGCGGAGGCGGAGGCGGAGGCGGAGGACGAAGCGGAGGAAGGCGGGCTGGGGGTGGGGCGGAGCGGGCCCGGCGGCGACGACGACGGCGACTGCGACGGCTCCAGTCACTCGCGGCAAATCGCGTGCCGGCCCCTCCGTGCGTCAGGCGGGGGGCGCCGGCGCGGGTGGCCCGGCCACCTCCCGACATCCGCGTCCGCGCGACCTCGCGTGCGCCAGGCAGCAGCGGCGCGGCGATCCCGCCCGGGCCGGGAAGCGGGCGGGGCGGGCGTCCGGGTCCCGATGGGGGCGGGGCGGGGCGGATCCCCAGGCGGTGGCTGCGGCGGCTGCGGCGGCGCCCACCCGCGCCCACCCGGAGCTCCCGGACCGCGGAGTGGAGGGGGGAAAGGAGCCCTGGAGCCGGGTCAGGAAACGTGGGCTTGAGGAAGGGCCGCTGCCTGACACCTTGGCGAGTGGTTTGTCTCCTCTGGCCTCATCCTGACGTGGTCGCCAAGGCTTCAGAATCCTACCGCTCTCCTCGCGGTCTGAGGGGATTCCTTTGCTCCAAGTACCCGCCGCAAGGAGACGCCGGGAAAGGGCTCTGTGCTGTGGCGGAAGAATGGAGGCGGCTGGAAGGCGAGGGGTGTGGTGAGGACGGTTGTATTCGAGGACGGTTGTATTCGAGGACGGTTGTATTCGAGGACGGTTGTATTCGAGGCTGGTGTTCCACTTTGAGGATCTTTCCCTTGGGTGGAAAATTAGTCCACATGGACCCCTGATAATGACTGCCTCCTCGTAAAGACGAGGTTATTTTTCTCCACATGTACTGACTTCAGAGCCCTCTTCCTTCTCATTTGATTGCACAGATCATTTTTAGGTCATTTCCTGAATTCAGTTCACAAGAGTTATCAACTAATTCACGAAAGACCACAGTGGCTACAAGGCTGCAGCCCAGGCATTCGGTAGTATCCACTCTGCCACTCGAGTATCACCCGTCTCCGTTGGTAAAGTGTTGTCATTCCAGCAACAACCAGGCACCCAGATTTCTCTGCCTTAAAGTTCTCTGGTTTAAAATCCCCTGGATGAGTGCTCACTTCGGCAGCACATACACTAAAATCCCATGGATGAATTCTTCCTCCTAATTCTATGATTCACAATCTGTCTCCGCTTCCTAATTCCTTTGACACTTTTTAGGCCAAGCCTTTCTAATTTCACTTCCATGGACCTGCTTGAGAATGCTCCAGAAACAGGCGAGCACAGCGCTTCTCTCTGAAATCCTTAGACGTTCTCCACCTCTGAGGTTGAATCTTGCTCAAGCTCATTACCGTGGAAGACAAAGCCGTTTATAATCTGATTCCTTCACCTCTTTAGTTCACCCTCCAACTCCTGCCTTACTCACATAGCACACGGAGATTCCCCAGACTGTGAGTCTGGGTCTGGTTTCCCGCGCCTGAAGTACATCCATCGTTTAACCAGGTGAACTACAGTCCTTTAAGATAATGAAGACAATGCCTTGCTTCCTCTTTGGAATCTTCCCTCACATCCCATTCTTCACAGCCCCACATCCTCACCCCACACACCTACACAGAATTAGTCTCTCCTCTGCTTTCAGAGTCCTTTGGTCTCTGTGATATTCCTTAGCACTTTCTTCCCCCCCCCCCCCCTTGTTTTCTTTGGTGGTGTTTTCTACTTAGTGTGTTCCTTGAAATGAGAAGGATTTTGTCTGCCTCATTTTTGACTCCCCAAAAGACAGAACAGTGCTCAGCACAGGGCAGGTTCTCTACCTATTTGTTCAAGTGTTGAAATCCATAGCCCTTCCTCGTATTCCGGTATTCCATTTTTTCTCTACTGTGTGGCAATCTTTGCTTATCATTTCAAACCCTGCCAATAACCACTCACATTCTTGGCTTATCTTTCATAAAGCAAGAGCATGCCAAACAGTCCTTTATAGTAATTCGCAAAACATCCCTTCCCTTCCTGTTTCCATACTTTGTGGCTCCTCATTGTATTACCCACTTATTACTTGAGGGGCAACTGATACAAGAACAACAACCAAAATTGGACTGTAAATTCAGAGACTAGTTAGGGTGCTCTGTCTTCCAGTAACTACTGAAATGAATTCAGCTCAGTTACTTTAATTTCACTTGGCCCTTTCCAGGGGTTCATTGGCTCTATGATGAGCATTTGTATGTAGTATTTTGTCACTGAGGTAAACATATGTGAGGGAGGCCTAGCAGATCCGTGCACAGCAGGTGTGCAGCAGCATTTCCAAGTGATAGGGAATTAACTACTCACAGCAGTATTCATCTTTGAACAGTCCTGCCAACTCTAACTTTGAACTGAAATGTGTCCCCCTACAGATTTGGTGGGTCGCCATGGATGATATCGGTAGAAACGTCTCAGGGCTTAAAAGTCAGAGTGACATGGTCAAATCCTGATTTCACAGTTTCCTAGTTGTGTGACCCTAGGCAAACAGAAGCACTCCAATTATGAGTTTGTTCAACTCTAAAAAGGAAAAATAATGATAATTGCACCTTATGTCATTATTATAAATATGAAATATAAATAATTCTGTAGTATTACAAATAATTATATCAATATATATTAATATATACTATTATAAATATTTTAAAATGTATATTAAAGCGCCCACTGATCTGAATCTAGTACTAAAATTTGTTGAGTACACAGGGGTATGGTTCCCCCTCTATATGAAGCCTTGTAAACATTTGAGGACAACACAGTATGTTCTTTGCTATACCTCACCTTTATTCATGCCCCATTCATCTGCTCTATGAGCTTTTTCTTATTTAAATATGTTCTAGTGGGGCAAGGATGTAGCTCAGTGGCACCATGCCTGCCTGGGAAGCACAAGGTCCTGAGTTTGATTCCCAGTACCAAAATAAACAAAAATGCTCTAGTGCCATATGTCATCTAGAAATGAATCCTGTATTCCATGTATGAAGAGAGGAGTAGAGAAGTATAATTTCCTGCTGAGGATGCCATTTCAAAATTTAGCTTTATAGCACATTAATATTTACATTAATATGAATTCATATTAATATTTTCTACCACCCTATGTCAAATTATCACCAACTAAAACAAAAATACCCCTAAATATTTTTAAGTCTTTAACCTGTATACTACTATAAAGCCATAGCCCCTTCAACCTGTATTTTGCAGTTTATTTTTGTCTTTGCCTTTATTCTTCATAAATATTATTTGGACAGTTATGTACGAGAAGCACCTGCCAACTAGATATCAGTCTGAAGTGAGAATAAGATTTTAAAATATTCAAGGTTGGGGCAAAGAATCCTTTCCTTGTCATTTTGGTACTGGCACAGGAACCCAGGGCCTCGTGTGTTCTAGGCAAACACGCTAAGCATTGATTTTTGAATCATCTTTTAAAAAGTGTAGGCCGGCGATTTAGCTCAGTGGTTCTGGTGCCTGCCTCTCAAGCACAAAGTCCGAGTTCGATCCCCAGTACCAAAAAAAAAAAGAAAAAAGTGGACCACTGGCTTAACTATTCTAATATCGTCTCAATAAAATGTAAGTATTAAAAAGATCAGCTTTGTGCACTGAGGACATTATGCGTTAAGACACAAAAGTTGTTGGTATATATCATAGGTGGAGGAGGAAAGGTTGCAGGTTGGATGAAAATGTAACTGATTAGAATATCTGCTAAGAATTGCATCGCTTTCCCACCCCCC